AGAGAGAGAGAGAGAGAGAGAGAGAGAGAGAGAGAGAGAGAGAGAGAGAGAGAGAGAGAGAGAGAGAGCGAGAGAGAGAGAGAGCAGAAAGGATGGAGAGTAAATGCATTAATGAGATGAATTAATGGATTAATTGGCACTAGAACAACAATCACTGCTACTCGTGCCATGAACAAAAACCAGGAATGAACAAAAAAACCTGCGCGTGTTGAACAAACCTGTTCTCGCGTTCGTAGAACTCTCGTGTGCCGCTGCGCAGTCGGTCGACCTCTGCGCTCGTCTTCACCCGCATTGTCTCCAGCTCCTCCCTCAGCTTCCCCTCGTACTCCCCGCGGCACCGCTCCCTGCGCAGAGAGGTCAGCACGCGCATGAGACAACAGCCGCACCCGTGAGATGAGCCCACGCGAAAAGATAAGAGAGAGAAAAGAGAAGAGAGAGAGAGAGAGAGAGAGAAGAGAAGAGAGAGAGAAAGAGAGAGAGAGAGAGAGAATAGAGAGAGAAGAGAGAGAGAGAGAGAGAGAGAGAGAGAGAGAGAGAGAGAGAGAGAGAGAGAGAGAGAGAGAGAGAGACGACATCGTGTATCTTCCTCTCCCCTCTCTCGCTCTCTCGCTCTCTCTCTCTCTCTCTCTCTCTCTCTCTCTCTCTCTCTCTCTCTCTCTCTCTCTCTCTCTCTCTCTCTCTCTCTCTCTCTCTCATGCAGAATAACTGCCGTGTTGAATGTCTGCAATGTACACACGGTTCCGTTGTCATCGTAGCATCGTAAAATACTACGATATTACGATATTATCACTTCTACTTGTTTTGCAGCCGTGCTAATAAGTGACGATGATACCCTGATCAGCGAGGCTGATCTCCTAAGAGCCTACACGCTGTGGAGATGGGTAGGTGCACCAGGGGACCCATTATTAGTGGCCCAAACTCGTTTCGTAATTAACAACTATCACAAGTCTAGGATACGAAACAAATTTTACACGTAAATTGTTGTGAAAATTTCTTTACGTTTTTTAGACTTCTGATGCCATAACTGGTTATTGTGTTTTGGTTTTTTTAGTTATGTTGCCTTAATGTTTGTTTTATTGTTTTCACAACGAGCTCCTTGGAATACGCGAACGATTTTTTCCGTAATAGTCACTAATATTTGCAATAGAAAATGCGAAGAATAAAAACGAAGGTAACTACGAATTTTCGGGCGATTGTTTTACGCAGGGTGTGGTATATATGCAGCTGCGCGGTAGTTTGGCCCCTATATGATATGAGAACTCACTGGCGCCAGTTAATTCTGGCTAGGTCTCTCCAAATTCTAACATGCAATTAACGTACGTGTGGTGATCTCCAATTAACACACTAGTTAAAGTTGTTATTTGTCATGAATTGTTGCCCTGCCTCCTCATTAATGTTACTTATAATGTTAACGTCGTGTTAGTTGGACCCATTTATTGTTTCGTTAATAAGCCATATCGAAAAATCCCCATTGCAATATTGAGATCAGATAAGAAGGGGTATAAGTTGCCTATATATAACATGGTTAGGATAGGACTAGTCTAGGTTTTTGATCTCTAATTCTCTTCACTAACATCGTACTTCAATTCACAGGTGCGTTTCTGTTTACAGAAACATTTACAAATATGATTGTGGTCATTTGGGATATTTTGCAATGTATGCGTTAATGCAAAAACTAAAAACGCACGAGTGTTTACATTAATCATGTACCTAACCGCGCCTCGGCCATGTTATACCCCCTTTTTTCTATGACCTAAATGCACAGCTGGACTTTCCGATATCACTTTTAGAGTGGCGATACTACTTATATGTTACATAAACATGTACGCATTTTTAAACACTTTTTTTCACGATTATTCTTACGTTTCGCTCTGTTACAGTTTAATTGTAGAAGGCGCTAGAGCCTACGCCTAAGCCTACGAGACGAGACAAGGTAGGAGACTACGCACTCTCGTAACGAATTTTTTCACGTTCACTCCTTTCTACTCGCCATTTTCACTCTGATGCCCCTTCTTCCTTCTTTCTTTCTTCCTTTCCTTCTTTTACATTTTGTTTCCATTTCTGCCTTTCTTTTCTTCCACACACACATACACACACACACACACACACACACACACACACACACACACACACACACACACACACACACACACACACACACACACACACACACACACACACACACACACACACACACACACACACACACACACACACTACA